TTTAGTGTTTGTACTCTAATAGTCCTGTAAATACCACTGTGGTTTGAGATATCATACATGTGTTTTGAAATATCATACAGTTTTAATAGTATCTGCTGACTTATATGTAAGGCTAAGCCTGTGCAAATGAGTCTGTGGCTTTCCAAAACAGGGATATGCAATGAATTAACAAATTGACATTAGATTTCTATGTATCTGTCCTCTTATTGACGATAAATTGCGTCATCACATTGTAAAAGTAGTGTGGATCCACGAGGCGTAGCAGAACAAAAACAAAAAAAACTTCTCATTTTTACTGATCAAAACAACCAACGGAAAGAGCGCACACTCGTTGCTGCAGCTTTATCTGTATGTTCTCTTATTGATGATAAAAAATAACCAATCAGCGCGCAAGAAATTTGTAAGTTATTGTAAAATGCTAAACTGGTGTTAACTAAAGAATGTGAGCCCCAAACCAGTGTTGGCATGGTATACTGTTAATCTACCAATATCTTACCAAAACCAAACACTGATTTTCAGATGACATTCTAAATGTTTCATTCCTTATTATTATCATGTGCAATTACTTCCTAAACCAAGTGGAAGCATAGCACGTCATTATCGTGCTTGTAGTACGATCAACAAAATTACTTGATTGTGATTGGTTGAGAATAGTACAAGTTATCTTTAATTATACTCCATAGGAGAACCCATTAAGTTGCTATGGGAAATATTCGTGCACTAATTAATAACGTAAAATTTATACTAATCAATTTATCGTAACTGTAAATTAATTGTGTGGCTTTCAACATCAACAGCCCATAATGCCTTTGACTGGCTTAAGACCCTATAGTGAATACACCTAATAGGCTAATGCTATGTACGTTACCACCCAATTCAAACCTTCTGTGAATAGAAGCGTTTGTCTCTACGAATGCAACTCTGAAACCAAAATATAACGAATAATGAAACTTACTCCCAGAAGGTTTAAATTGAGTGGAAACATACATAGCAACACATTAGCCGATTAGGTCTATTGATACGTTACCATTAGAATTGCTGGTTTTCCCTAGTGATGGCAACCATGACAGGAGGCACAACAATAGAGCTGTCTCCCCTTGGAAACTGAATTCTTTCTTGTAGAAATTAGACTAGACCAGATTTAATTCCTGTCTCCTGTCATGGCTGCCATCACGTGATGGTGCAAAGCCTCTATTGTTATTTGTCTCTTACTAGATCCACTTATTTTGTTATTTTATTTTCTGTAACACTAGATAACTGTCAAAACCTTACCAGTGGTAGGTCCCATGTCAAGTCCCCCAAGCAGATCCAGAAGATCCCCACCAGACGATGCTGGTTTTGGAACAGCTAATGGTTCAGGCGGAGCTGTATTTATAGTTTCRCCTCCACCAAGAAGATCAAGAAGAGCATCAGACTGCAAACAAAATGCACAAAAATGAAATAAACAATTGCTTTACCTAGTCTTCTCTCCTGCTCAATGAAGTATAAAGGTAATAGGTAAAGTTGGTTGTTCCTTGGTTGTTTTGGCAAATCAACTACTATCAACGGAAGCCAACGGTGTGCACTTCACCCCTCTCTCCATCAGTGCTCTGTTCAGGGTTCCCAGCCATTTTGAAAATAAAAATTCCCGCACTTTTTCTCGACTTTTTCCTCACTAAATAACAGTTTTCACTGACCTTGTTGAGCCGCATGGACGAGCATGGTGAGCATGGGCCACATGCCTAACTTTTACCTAGGCCCCACTCTTATCATATTACACAGCATACCCAACGTAATTAAACTGTCCGGCATAAATGATACTAAATACTTCAATATTTTTTTCATTATTTGAAAAGATTTATCAGTCTATCCAAAAATTGCAAACAGTATGAGTATCACACGGATACTCATGGTTAATTTTAAACAAAATTCCCTGACTGTTTTTCCTTGACTTTTCCCTGAACCCTGCTGTTTTAAGAGTATTCAAACTTGGAGCTACATGGATTAGAGAGAAGTCGAAACAGACGTGGAGATCCTCAAGATCAAACGTTGGACCTCTAGCTCTGAAGGGCATGCACTAACAAACTGAGCTGTACGCTGAACTTGGGTAGCCAGAGAATGATCAACAATTCACGTACAGTTAAAGCACATCTGTACTTACGTCTTGTTTCTGCTGTGGAGGTTTTTGTTCAATTTCTACTAAAACAAAAAATGTAAAGTATGATTAAATGTTTATGTATTTTTTTACCTTACAGTTAGTATTACAATACAATACAATACAATACATACAATACGATATGCTACGAAACGATATGATACAAAACGAAAAGATAAGATACAATAGTAGTTTATTCAGGATGCAAATAATCAGTAACATACAATAAAATAGTAAGAGCGAAAAAAAACTAACACGCTGCAAAAAATAGGAATAAATAAGCACCACGAAAGAAAGTTTATTATTAACAGTAGTACTGTATAATGAACATTTAGACATTGATTTGATGCTAATCCTGAGTAAAGAAATGTATAATCAAGGAATGCAGTGCTAGTTTGGAATTGGAAAAATTTAACAGTATTACGAAATCATTACTTTAGTTTGGATTGAAACAAAAATATCAGGGTTTTTTTCCAGTACAGTACAGTATGGTACGGTACGGTGCGGTACGGTACATACATGCATAATTTCTTTATTCCCAGAGTAAGATGGACCCATATTTATTTTGTACCTTGTTTTAATTCTGGTGGTGTGTCTGGTTCCACTTCACCATTAGTAAGATCACCATTCATCTTGCTTATCTTTGCAAGCGGCATTCTCTCCAGAAGCCCAGGCCTAACACCAATGAAGCATCATATACTCAGTATATCTTAATAATACTTAATATAAACACTTTACTCTGGGGGATTGCTTTATTTCCTGCCATCCAACATGGCTGCCATCACCAGATGGTGCAAAACCTCTATTGGCATATCCTAAATGAAATAAATTCTTGGGGTGCATCAATCTTGTACCCAGAGCCTGCGTTTCTTCTGGCCTGAGTTGAAGAACTAGGGCTCTGGCATAATCCATTTTTTGAGGCCAGGATTTCTTGGACTTCCGGTATCAGAGTGCAAACGTTAAAATACTTGCCAAAAATTAAAAAAATATGTTCCCGATTTTTCATTTATATTTTGATCGGAAAACCACGTTAAGACCATGTATGGTATTTCCAGAAAGGGAAATAGTTGAACTACAAAACTGCGTAAAATATTGATCATCACTGAAATAAAGAATTAATTTTCTCACCTCATATTGTTGTACTTGTCAAACAAAGCACCATATTCAACCCCACGCTGTTGTAACTCTACATCCATGTTGCAGCCAAAATTCTTGACCACAGCTTGGATACGACTTGAGAAAGTATTGAGAAATATTACAGTGTTATTCTAGTTTGATGGGGTTAGCGTAAGCCTTACAGTGCTGCTAATGCATTTTATTACACATTCAGGTTGGGTATAAGTGTGATAAAGCTGTTAATAAAATAGCAGCAGAAAGTGGAGACTGTCTAGTTTAATGCCTTGATATGTCATCATATCTTTACTCCGACAAATGACTAACATTCGAAATGTCCATGTATTGTTACAAACGTTTTTAAAAAGTGTTAAGTTTCCTTGTTATTCTTATTTAGGAATAGTTGGTTGGTTCTGTCTGGAACTGTGTTTTGAGCGTTTTGAACATGTTCGGCACAAATGACCTCAAAATCGGAAAAGTTAACATGGGAACAGCCAATTTTTGATAGTGTGTCATCTTTACACAGTAGATCTATTGTTTACAGAAAAAAACCTATCATCAATTTTGTTGGTATACTGTATTTTGAAGTCACACTATTACACAATGGAATACTTTGATGAAACGGCGGCCATCTTGGCAGGGGGTAAAACAAAACAAATGGAAAAAATATTGAGTTTTGTGTGATTGTCTTTATTTTATTGGTAAAGCTGGTCAATATGTCATCTGAATTTATCTTTTATTATGTTCTTGTGGTGAGCTGTTGATATCAAATCAACATCATTACTGCGACAAAGCTTTATTTGCCCTGTGGATGCCTTGCAATCCAAATGGCTGCCACATCATTGAAGTAGCCCATTGGTGTGAGTTGTGGGATGTATCAAAATTTGGGAAATGCATTTTGAAACTCATTTTTGTAATGAAAACAAACTATCTAAGGATAAGCCGTCCTCATAATGGCGAATGTTGATCATCATTCACATGTCAGATAAAATTTGTAGAAGTTAAATCACTGGACAGCAAAAATGGGGTATAAAAAAGCAATGAGCCCAAAAGGCTTTATACAATTAATCAATATATTTTTCAGAAGCAATGTGCAAATACAGGGCTAAAAACAACAGCCAGTCATCAGACAATGTCTGCCCAGAATTGGAACTTGCCATTCAAATCTTGCCATGCCAGTTATTTTGACCAGTAACCTTGAGCTAGAAATAAGGTATGACCACACCAAGCTAAAGCTAATTTGGCCAATCAACATGACTGGTGAATTACCGACTGACTGGACATGTTTCAGTATTGGCTTGACATTGTTTAATGACCAGCAGTGATTTTAAGCACTGTGTCAATAAGTTGACTTACTCTATTTCTTGTGTGAAGCGTGTACTTAGTTTCATGACAGCATTTAAAGCATAGTCTCTGGTGACAGCTGTTGAATGGGAACTATATAGAATGCTTTCCAAAACATCTATCACATCTCGCTCTGTTATCTACAAACCATAATAACAAAAAGGTTATTACGATTCTTCAATTGCACATTACATCATTGCGGCATCTCACGGGACCCATTATTAACAGCACCAAAATGGCTACCATGATTTTTTTTTGTCTATCTTGAGAATGTTTGCAACCCATCGATATAGCAACAATGTTATGGTGAAAAAACATCTTCAGTAGCCTAGCCTATGGGTCTGACTTCTTATTGCTTGATGTCTGTGAATACCGTTACATGTGTTCAAGAAATGTACACACAGAATACTATAAAATAAGCGTGTTTCCTGTTGCATGAGAAAAATAATTGGGGTTGGTAGGTCAGATTTTTTTTACTGATACAACAGTGGAAATGAGCTTACTGGGAACCCTGTGGTGCATTTGGGAATGAAAAAAATATTAGGGTCGGCAAAAATCAGCAAGGAAATTAGGGTCGGTCGCGCAACAGGAAACACACTTGTTTGGCCTGATAGGTAGAGGTGATTCATACTTACCCCTTGAGGTTCATCTTCTTCAATGTCTATTAACAGCTTTTCTCCAAACTCCCCACAACACCATGAGCCTATCTGTACCAGAGATTGCTGAATGTGAAATAAAATGTCATTAATAGGAAATTATTGCATATAATCTAATTCCCCAACCCTCACCTCTAATGCAGGGACAAGGCACTCAGGAAACCTTGGGGTAAGGGGTGATTCGGAAATAAAACAGGAGCCCCCACTTCTCAATACAGGGGCATTAGAAAGTCAGGAAACCTTGGGGTACAAGCCGATTCAGAAATAGAATACAAGCCTGCTTCCCTCCCCCTCCACACCCCTCAACACTCAGGGAACCTTGGGGTAAGGGGTGATTCAGAAATAGAACAGTAGAAACATTCACACTTTTTGAGAAGTTTCACTGCTTTCTGCCTGCTGTATGTCTGATTGGAGCATGGAAAAAGTTGTTCTACTTGTTCATAATTATTATTCATAAATAAAATATAATAAAATAAATTCTACCAGCTCACTAGATACACCGTGCTGACGAGGCCCAATACAGGCCGAAACAGCTGTCCACGGTTTCTAGTTGAGCTGGCTCATTTTTTATGTGACTTGAAGTTGTGAAGGCCCATTGGCCCTCTTCCGCAGTCGTTTCATGCAAGGCTCATAATTACTTATTATGCATGTTCTTATAAATTAAATAACAAATGATCTATTTAGAGAGGGTGACACATGACATTTGCAACTGATAAACTTGGCTGTCTATGTTTAAGTTCTTTGAATAAGATGGGGCAACTATTTTTAAGTGGTCATCCTCCATTCAAGCGGAGGTCTAATCATTTGCAGATATTTTTTTAGACCAAAGTGAGCACCTTCTACTTAGATATTTCAAAAGAYCCTTGGTGTTTGTCCAGTCAACCCTCGAACCCATGACCTCCCATATATCAGGGGGAGAGGTTTCTTACGCTTCTTTGTAAAGCAGGCTGGGCAAACTTATGGCATCAGCACCATGCTCTATTCACTGATACAGCACAGTGTTGTCATGGTGACAGGGAGTCGTACCAACCTGACTGATGTCATGTTGCATAGCCTTGAACAATCTTTGTACACTGTAGGCCTGTAGTTCACTGGAGGCACACACCATGTGTATCAGACTTGGTACTGTTTCATCCATTACGTAGTTACCAGACTGAAATTAAATTACAACAATACCATATTTACTCCTTTACAGTCAAAGAACTCCACGCATGAATATTTTTTTTATGATTTAGCAAATATTCAAATGAATATTCGTGGAATCATGAGAATATGTGGACCGCATAGCACTCATGAAATACATGAAGATATAGAAATATAGATAAGTGATAGTGCTTGGGAACGAGGTTATTCCTGGCGAAAGCCCTTGGAATTAAATTCGGAAAAATTAATTTCTGACCTCGCCGGGAATCGAACCCACRACCTTCGGAATTGTACTACCGATGCTCTACCAGCTGAGCTAGAGGTGGATTCGTGGAATTCGTGGAATCATATAAGATAAAACATCCTTTAGTCCAAAGATCTGAAGTTCAGTTTAAATTTCCAATTATTGTTTCCAATCATTCAAATTTAGATTCTAAAAGATTCAGAATGAACTAGTGCAGATATACTAGCTTGACTTCCTGGTCCGACAGACTGTCTGGCATTAGTTTATTTGCATGCCGGAATTATAGAATTTTCATTTTAGTACTGTGAGGTACAACGAGTAGGTAAAGAAGTAATGGAGTCTGTGATCTACAAAATGTTCAAGCCAGATAATCAAAAATGCAGTGGGCCTTCTTTCACTGTAAGATCTTCTTGTCTCTTACAAACAAGAGCTGRCAAAATGTAAGTAATGCTTAATGTGAACTTAGTAATGATTTCATAGTAGTGAATAAGCAAAAGATGAACTATGAAAAGGTGTGAGCAATTTTTGATATTTAAAATACACTGTTGGTATTTGTGATTTTTTTTTTCCAATAAAAGGAGACTTTAGCCCTGAGAAAACAAGTCTTCGATCATTAAAGACAGCTTTATTTTATAACTGCTATTTTCATAAACACGCTGAAATTCGAGTGCCGTCAATCAAACATAATCAGTTGGTACCTTTCATATTTTTGACTGGCGGCAGCAAAAAACCAAATTTCAGCGTGCAACTCAGAGACACAGAGTTCGCATGTTTATGAAAATTGCAGTATTTGCAAACGGTGTAATTGTCACTTACTGTAGTAAGTACTTTCATCATGGTATCAATGTGCCATCGCTTGTTAGGGGAATGTCTAGAAAACAGAAAACAAATAGGTAATCTCACATTCAAACAAATCCAGAATGACAGACAAAAGGGGGTGAATAGATGGGATTGGTGGATGGATAGATAGATAGATAGATAGATAGATAGATAGATAGATAGATAGATAGATAGATAGATAGATAGATAGATAGATAGACAGATAGGATGCATTGATGAGGATGGATGGATCAGATGAATGGGAGGATTGGAGAATGGGGGCCATGAAATGGGCTAAAAATGGATGCATTATTACTTTAATAAACCAAATGGCAAAATCATTGTCAGGTTGAAAAGGTCAAATCCTTGAAGCATTGTACACTGTAGACCAAGAGGTATTCTTGGTAGTCGATATCCTAGGTATCTGGAGGGTGTTTGTATAAAGACACATACATAAAGAGCAATAAAATGCATAGTTCTGTAACTTGAATCAATGTTTGACAACTGCATTTATATGCATAATATTAGCCTTATTATCTGTTTACCCAGAACACCCTTCAGTCTGAGCATCAATGAATTAGCATTTGCAACCTGACGACGTTTTTTCAATTTGGTGTATGTAAAAATCTATGGGTTAGACCTCTATAGCTTCGTATACAAATTGTCCATTTCAGACAATGTGACAGTCCCCTGAGAATTGATCTTTTATGACGAGCATGTTAAAATATTTATATTCTCTACTTTCACATCCCCATAATGCCTTGCGTCTTTGGGGGTAACCAATCAAAAAACTGTCCCAAATTGAAAGGTTTCTTAATTGAATTTATACTATACCTGCTTTTATCTGTACAATACTGATTATCAGTTTATTCCAAGTTATTTTTGTGTGTACAGATCATGAAGAGTTTTGGTCTTACAGAAAATGTATTGGCTTACGAAAAAATGTTTAAAATTTACCTTAAACGTCTTGAAGCTTCTATCTCTTTCTGTTTTTTACTTCTTCATTTTATTTTTGGATACCAAACATGGTATTGTCAACATTGTCTGATCAGCCTTCAGCAAAATAAGTGGGTTTTTACCCTCTGGTTATCCCCCAAAGACGTAAAGTATTATGGGGATGTGAAAGTAGAGAATATGAAATAATCAACTTTTCCAAGAGTGGTATCACATTGTCTAAAATGTGCACAACAAACGACAAAGGTTCATATATTAGATGGGATTGGATGGGATGGACAGATGAATGGATGAAGTATTGAAGATGACAGACCAAGTTAAACAATTATTGATTACTTACTTATCTGCCACCAGAAGTATATTAGACGCCACATAAGATTTAAATTCTACATCTGTTTTGTTCAGGAATGCAAGTAGTTCTTTCATCATACCACGGATATTGCTTGTATTAACAAGAGCAAATGACAGTTCTATGGCCCTCCTGTTGATCAACAACATTATCCATGGAATTAGTTACTAAGAGTTACTATCAAGTTGATTAATAAAAGTCCAAGGCTTTGTCTGCCTCACATACAGTGATTTCCACATGAGCACAGTGCGCGCCGAATTTGTTTATTTTGAAGAATTCGCTAATTAGCTCATTTGAAGTGTCAGACTGTCTATTTCGGTCAGCCAAACGTTGCTTGATCATTAAAAGAACGTTGGCATTCTTGGGAAAATGTCACAATGCAATGTGTCCTTTTAACGATTGAGCAACATTTGGCCGACCAAGACAGACTGTCTACTGTCTACTGTCTGACACTTCAAACGTGCTTTAATGAATGCTTTGCTTTCAACTAACCCACTCTTTTGTCTTTTGATTGTTTCTTTCGTTCCCTTGCCCACCTTGTTCTCATTGTTTTCTTTTGTCTTGTTCTTAGTATATTAACACTCCTTTCTACCACCTTTTTCTCTTTTACTCCGACAAAGGACTAGCGCCCCTCATCTTTTCATGGTGTATGATTTACCCTTTTATCATTATTGTCCTACTTACCGCCTAATTGAAATATCTGGGTCCTTTAGACAATCCAGGATAGTACTGCGGTGTCTCTGGACGGCATTATAGTCAGCAGTTACTGTCTTCAGCAAAGTATTAAGGGCTACATATCTATAAAACAAATAACACTCCAATTTAATAATTCTATATCCATATTCCATTTCAGATCATGTGTCATTCCCTCGGGTACTATTTCTTTGTTTTCAAGTAATGAAAGCACTTAAATAGACACGAGTGAAAAACGTCTGCGCATGCTCTGAATCCGTGTGCAAATTAGTCAAAACATAAGTAAATTTGACTTTCAAACATGCCTGATAAATTGGACTTCACAAAATCATGCAAAATGCCAAAACTTAGTGTCCATGGTTGAAACTTAAGGCTAATTCTATCAATTGTGTTTGTTAATACATTATCTTGATCTGACAAAAGTATACTCGCGAACTTTTTTGTATAATTTGAGAAAACTTTTATTTTCTCACTCAAACTCTTCAAAATTCTTAGAAAACGTGCTGAAATGCATGCATGAGCAAACGTTTTTCTCTAGTGTCACTGACATTTTCATTATTTATAGCAATGAAAAGCTAACTAACAACTTCATCCTCAAGAGAATATTGTTCCCTCTACTACCATTTCATTTCAATGACTGGGCTGTTCTCTTTTATGGGAAGCACAATGGTGTAGTAGTGGTTCTCTCCTATGCTTGGAAGGGTTTTCTAAGGGTTTGCTGGCTTTTCCAAGGGTTTGCTGGCTTTTCCTCCCTTGAAAAACAACTTCTAAATTCCAATTTGAATCCAGTGGAAGAAAAGCCACTTTGTTGAATCACTGTCGATATTCCCAATTATTATCTTTAGGGGGTCCCAAGATAGAAATAATAGTGACCTTTATCAGGGCTTAAAATAACAGCTGATTAGTTGAAATCATGATTACAGGCCAAATCAGTTTTAGCTCGGTAATGCCTCACTTCTGGCTCAACTTTACTGGTCAAAATGACTGGCAAGGCAACAATTTGACTGAACAAGCCCCAGTTCTGGCCAGACATTGTCTGTTATTTTAAACTCTGTTTAGATCTGACAACGAGTACGAAAATGAGAATGAGACAGAGTTTTAAAATTGGTCCTGTTCACATGGTTTACAATGAATTATTGTAGTCATTTTCCAATTATTTACAATCTAAAGTTTCAATCTAATACAGGAGGCCAAACAAAAAAATAAGTGTGTTTCCTGTTGCATGAGAAAAATAATTGGGGACGGTAGGTCAGATTTTTTTTACTGATACAACAGTGGAAATGAGCTTACTGGGAACCCTGTGGTGCATTTGGGAATGGAAAAAATTGGCAAAAATCGGTAAAAAAATTAGGGTCAGTCATGCAACACAAAACACACATATCTTTTATTTGGCCTGRCCATGACTACGAAATGACAATGTCAATCTTTGAAAGTCAAAACCTCGTACTCATTCTCATACTTGTTGTCTGATCTAAAGGTCTCAAATGCTATTAGGCGCACAGTCACTATTTTCCATATTTTGCTTGGGGGGTTTCTTACCGTATATTCTTGTCATTATTTAAGAGGAATCTTCCAAGAATGTTAATTGCTAGAACCTAACAATATAGACAAAGATAGAGCATATCAGAAAATGAAAGTTGCATAAGAAAAGGAATAGCCTGGTCCCTTATTATATCATTATTGTTGTTGTTGTTATCATCATTATTATCATTATAATTGTATCATCACTCTATAATCCCATATAAGCAACTATTGCATTGTTTTCAAATTCTCTTTCCTGTCCAAATTAAAGATTAATTTGGATGGTTTCCATTCGCATTCTTTCGAGGGAAAACTATGACTTATGGAATCAGTCTAGTATAGTTTGGGATGATATAATTAATCTGCAAAATTCCTCTGACTGTCAAATTGGACTCAGCCTACTGCCTCATCCAATTTTGTCAGTCCTCAGAAATTTGTTCATCCAATTATTTCCAAATTGGACAGCATGTAGTCCTATTACATGTACCTATAGTTATCAACATCAACATCATCATCACCATCACCATCACCATCCTTATCATCATCATTATTATCATTTTTATTTTGAGACATACCCTAAGACCACTTTCAGACTTGATATCCATGATTGTTAACACTGTTTCATAAAGAATAGCATTTCCTACATTTTTGCTTGTTTCTGTATTGGTGGCAACCTACGAACAGAGTACAGAAGAATGAAATTATACCACTGTACAGTAACAATGTTGTTCCTATACTAAATAAACCTTTATCATTTCCTGAAAAAATCATCTTCATTTATTCCTACAGGGCTAAAAGTCAGTTGCCAGTCATGTGTTGGCTGGTCATGACGTTGATGATTACCTAAATGGGCTATTATGACAGGGGCAGTGGAACAGTTTTTAAAGTGGAGGAAGCTAATCTGTGGTTTTCTTCATAACAGAACTTAAACAAGGACTAAAAAAGATATTATTCTCATAAAATGTTAGGGGGKGGGCCAAAGGCCCCCCCCCCCCCCCAGGGTACCTGACTCCGTCACGTCTGTATGATAGGGTTTACCTGTGCCAAGACGTCATTCAYGTGTTCACTGGCTTCTTCATCATCTTTACCAAGTATTCTAAGTAGTCTGATAATTTGAACCTGTAGAACAAAGGACACAATACTTATTCAACCTGACTAATAGTATGTGGTAGGTTCCTATGACTCTGAGTGTACTATACAATGTACACCATGGCTGTCCTCATAATGGCGAATGTTGATCATCATTCACATGTCAGAAAACAAATGTTTAAGTCAAATCATTGGACAGCACTATGGGAGGTTAATAATTAAGTTACTTATCTTGTTTTGAATAACTAATGTGGAAAAACAAAAGTGAAATAATCGCTTCGGAGGAGTTCATCAGTTGGATAGAAAATCGTTTATATTATTTTGCATTCATTCAAATCTAACATGAAATTTTTGGGTTCAAATCACTTCAAGGACTTAAGGGTGGCATGAGTGCCATACGCTGCTAATGCATCATCTTACACAAGTGTGAGTCCAATGGGTCGGGTCCCTGGTTTGGGCCCTGCGGTCGCCACATGTGAATTGAGTTTGTTTGACATGTTGTTCTCTCCTATGCTACAAGGGTTTTCTACGGGTTTTCCTGTTTCCCTTCTCCGTAAAAATCAACATACAAGTTGATTGTTGTGTGCATAGAACATTGAATGTGGTGGTAGTGTGTGTGAGTGAAAAATGTGTAATTAAAACCCTGAAACATGCTTTAGCCTCTTTCTTACAGTGTAACTACTTTAACAGGGCCACTCATTTACAAGAGAACCAATTAAAATCTAGAACAAAAACAACTTATTCCAACTTTTGGGGAGTGGAGCCACTCAGAAACCTAGAATGCACAAGAATGGTAATTTGACCCTGATGTTATTTGTAAACAACTAGATAACCATCGTAACTTTCTCGTGGGAATAAAAAGATTGGCAGCTATTGTTTTATGCTGATTTCTGATTGGCTCCACTACCCAAAGTTGTAATGTATCGTTTTCATTCTACAATTTAATTGGTTCTTGCTGTCTAGGTGCACCCAGTTATAGTAGTCCCATTGTAAATCTAAGCTTCCTCACTTTTCTGGGTGCTTCCCAGCCCTTGAAAGAAGTTTATAGCATACATACCTGAAGAAAAGGATCACTAATGCCAGATACGTCGTGTTCAGGGGAATAGCCAGACATGATCAAATTCTTCAAAACTTTCACTAGYGTGGATACGTGCTGTACAAAATGAGTCATCACTGTTAATATTCTCTTTGTATCACAACTTGCTCTCATTTAAACCCTTCCCTTCCCTTTAGGACGTTTACAGACATCATTTGTATTGTTTGCATTCAAACTGGTTTTGATGGGCAAAATATCAAGAAAACCCATTTTTCTACTTTATGTCAAAATATCTCAGAAACCAATTTTTTTTGTTTTAAAATAAAGATACTACCAAAATATACAACATATGTAAATCTAAAAAAATCTGATTGCAAGGGTAATGGTTGACACCAAATTTAGGTAAAAAATCAAGGATTCAAATTGTACGCATTTTGCCTTTATCATACAAACTCTTATTTACATGCTTTTAATTCAGAAATGT